CCTGATCATTGACTATGCAAGTTGTCAGTAATGGCCTGGGACTTGAATAGTCCCTAGAGCCTGTATAAAGTAAGAGAATCCTGGGTCTCTGGAGATAAGAAGGAAACCCCATTAAGAAATCCTCTCCCAACCTCACCTGTGCATTTCTTCAAATATATTCTTTTTTGTGTTTGTATTCTCTCTCTCTCTCTCTGATGAATTAAAGACAGCCCTTTCCCATGAGGTGGTGAGTAGGATGGGACTTAAGAGAGCCCTGTTAGCACAGTGACTAAACACTTGATTGCTAACCCAAAAGTAAAAGGTTGAAACCCACCAGCTGCTCCTTGAGAGAAATATAATTAATATTACAGCATTAGAAACCCTAAGAGGTAGTTCCACGCTGTTCTAGTTGGGTCACAAGTCTGAATTGACTTAAAGGCAATTGGTTTGAGTTTTAAGGGAGTTGTAGGGCCAGTCAGTGCGGAGATCCGTAAGTCACATGAGCTCCCCAATTTAAAAGGTACATTCATTCCTGAGGTGAGGGAGAGGGCTGAATGGAACACCGGGGCATAGACTAACTAGGGAAGGGAAGCTAAGATATTCTTGGACTAGGTAGAGTCAAACTGTGTGTACAATACAGAAGAACATAGAGTACTTCAGTGTGATCAAGCATTTTTAAGGTGACTTTTCCAATGCTTTCTTAAATGAAGAAAAAATCTTGACAATACTTTAAAGGTATATTAAACACTTTGTTATATCCACTAATTGAATTGCTCTGCACATCAAAGAATTGAAAATAAATGCTGAAAATTTAGGCTGGTTCTTAAAAAATAGTAAAACTTTGCAGATGCATCCATTCTTGGGAAAAATATACCTTTAAATGCATACATATTCTTACTCCTTGTTTTACTCAATCTGTTTAAACAAAAGCAGAAATCATTCATATCAATCCAGCAAACCTTAAGGCAAGCTTAAAGTAAGCTTTCAGGTATATGGAACACTGTTCATTTACTGATAATTTTAATGAAGTAAATACAAATTTTCAAAAAGTAAATGAAAAATTATTTCTAATCCAGTTCTACCCCTGTCCTAAGCCATGGAATTTTCAATGACCTATTATGCCTGTGAAAGCTGGATAAAAAATAACGAAAGCCAAAGAACTGATGTAATTACGGTTGGTCAAGATGATCTAAAGTACCATGGACTTGCCACAAGGTCAAATAAATCTGTCCTTAGAAGTAAGGATGATGAGACTTGTCTCACATACTCTGGACATGTAATCAGAAAAGAACATCATGCTTGTAAGTGTAGAGGAACAACGAAAAAGAGGAAGACCCTCAATAAAAAGAATGGATACAGTGGCTGCTACCATGGGCTCAAGCACAATATTTGAGGATGGTACAGGACCAGGCAGTGTTCCCATTCCCCGGTACCTAGAGTTGCTATGAGTCAGAATCCACTCAACAGTATCCAAGGACAGCAGCAACTCAGTTCAGACCAAAGGAGTAAGCATTCCACTAAGGCTATTTCACCTGGTGGTTACCTGTTTTTCCCGTTTTCCATCATTCACAACTTGCTACAAACGTGTAAGAAAAATGCAAAGGCAGCCCTCTCTTACTTTTTCTAACAGAAACTTGTGAAAAACTGTGAAGAACCAAATACATAAAAGCTCTCCAATTCCCCAAAATGGCATAAATTACTTAAAAAATGTTTTGCTCAATAACTATATGAACCACTGGTTTTCAAAAATGGAAAACTACATATAGTATGTATGTATACAACTACATATAGTATTACTATTCTAACACTCAAAAGGAGAAAAAGCACTTTTAGCTAATACCATTATATCTTGTTAGTCGTATGGCCAACCCTCCCAGTTTCCATCTATAGTCTTCACACCTATTTCCAATGCCTCGACAGACTCTCTCCTCAAAAGCTTCAAACAAACTGAATGTCAACAGCAAGACTTGTAAGATTTGCTTTAGAATGGATCCAAAGTGCCCAGCTGTTGAAATGACAAATCACTATTTAATCAATACAGTCAATATGTCAAACAAGCACAAAGAGAGATATGACAAAATAATAATTTATAAATTATCAAGGGCTCATGAGGGAGGGGGGGAGAGGGGAGCGGGAGGCGGGAGGGAGGGGGAAAATGAGGACCTAATGCCAGGGGCTTAAGTGGAGAGGAAATGTTTTGAGAATGATGAGGGCAATGAATGTACAAATGTGCTTTACATAATTGATGTATGTATGGAGTGTGATAAGAGCTGTATGAGCCCCTAATAAAACGATTAAAAAAAAGAGAAAAAGGGTTGTACAAGCCCCCAATAAAATGATTTAAAAAGAAAAAAAGAAGAACACAAGTCATAAAGGCACCCTTATACTCTAGAAGTTTTTAATCTATAAGGTATAAATACACATAATGTTAAGAAATGTGAGGCAAATCATTAAAAATTACAGGAGATGAGAAGTCCTATGATTTCATAAAGAGTACACAGAACTTGAAATAAGAGACCATTTTATTTCAGTCTAAGTCATTCTGTATGGACTTCATTTTCCTTTATCAAAGGTTGGAGTCGATACGTCCCTTTCAGCAATGTTCTTATGATACTGTAAATCCACATGAGCTTGAAATTCAAAAGAATTATAAAAAAAACAGCAGTTGTCAGTTCAAGAAAATCAACAACATACGAGACAGAAAGGTCTGGAAGGCTGCCCTGGAACACCAAAAAAAGAAATTAATATTTCACTTCATGTGTTACTTGAATAACTTAAGGGGAACTTTTCTTTTTGTTAATGTGGCTATGTATAGACAAAGCCTCAACAGATATGCTATAAAAACAGAAAACTAGAGTCACAAAGGGAGGCTGGTTTCGTTAAGGTTAGTTCCCATAAAGTATTATCATTAAAAAAAAAAATCCGTTGAGACTAGTTAAGTCAGTCCCAAGGTTAGGAATTCTGAATTATGTAGGCTACTGGGCGCTATTGCTGGTTACTGAGCCATGAGGGATGTTTTCAAAGTTGTTTTTATTTTGTCTTTAAGATTATGACAGAAGGCTAGACAAACTGTGTTGGGAGAAAAGGCTTAAATAAACCCAGTTAAAAGTTAATACTTCAGAGATAAAAAGTAAACTATATCAGGAATGAAAGGTAACTGAATTTTTTAAAAAACGACAAAAATTGGTCAAAGTTAAAATATGTGGACGGAGAAAATCAAAGATGAAACCATGGCTTGAAAGCATGATAATGTCACCCAGAGAAAGCATCAGTTTCAAACCCTATCTCCAAACCAGTTAATGTGATGTGAGATCATACAGATGGAATTGTTGCTTTAATTCAATAATCTTTAAACATCACTTCTGATATTTAAATATCACAACAAAGAATTTATGAGCTTGTTGGACACAGTAATTTCAAGTTTCCTTCTGCTAAATATCATTTCGTTTTCTGGTGTAGCTAGGAGAGCACATTCGGTATTTCTCCGTAACAGCAAGGTAAATTGTACAAATCAAGAACTATGATACAAAAACGTTGCACTACATTTGTATGTATTAAGTCAAGTCTTCTTGACAAGTGATTTATAACGATAATCACATCAAATCCATCTTGATCTTTGGCAGAAAGTTCATAAAGGTGCAAAGTAAAAGTAAGAGGAAACCTAGAGGCACAATGTCATTTAACGTCTAGTAAAACCTTCCACACGTGCTTCAGGTTTTATATGGACCTGGAAAGCATTGGGAAGATCTGAACTAAAAAGGCAGAAGAACAATTTAAAATTCAATACAGGATCAGGCACAGAAAGGACAGGGGAGCTTTGTGATATTGATATTCCAGCCATTTCCTACACAATGTTCCCAGAGGGAGAGGAGTGGGGGAGATAAATCCTAGCGTTTGTGGTCAAGATGAAATTAAACTACTGATAATCAACCAGGGTATATTTATTTATTGAGTTTTATCAAGTTATGAGGCGATGCCTATTTAAAAACAAGCCTTCATTAACAATTAACCCAAAAATGTTTTTTCTTACATTTCCCCCATTTAAACTACGACTTCACAGGTGGCTAGTAAATTATCAATAAATGGCTTTTCCTAATTTTTCAATGTAAGGTTTTAAAAATGACTCTCTTTCAACAATTATAGGTTTTGAACTTCTTTACTACCTACCAAAGATAATGCTAGAAAAATTCTCACGTCATTCTTTCCTTAGCTCCTATGGCTTCTTGCCTAAGTAAATGAGTAGAATGAATTGTTGTAAGGTGACCTCAGTCCATCAGTTCTGCTTCAGTTGGGCGCTTACGTTTGGGTTCTCAGCTCCCAAACAACACCCAGCTTCCAGAGCTTCTAACGGCGAATTCAACTTTTATGGAGGCACATTATGGAAGGCTACAAAACCAAGCTATCGAGACCATTTTTTAACGGCGCATATTACAACTGAACTCTAAAGCTTACAGCCCGAACAACCGCAAACCAAATCTAAACCAGATCCAAACGATTTTTTAAATCCACGTTACCGGAGAATCAAGAAAACGGCTGGGGGAGGGGCAGAGGGCGCGTCCAGAAGAGGTCCACCCTCCGCCCGAGACCCGGCTCCGGCCCTCCTCGCGGGGTGCAGGGGGCCCCCGGTTCCCTTCACCTGGCAAGCCCCACCTCCCCGGCCTCGGGTTACACAGGGCAGGCAACAGGACTTTCTGGAAGGAAAGCGGAGAGGCTAGCGCGCTGTACACCCAACCTCCCGGCCTCGCAAGGCCAGCCAGCCAGGGCACTCACTCGGGTGCGAAGCCACGGGGCCGGTCGACCGAGCCTAGCTGCCGGACCGCAGGGAGCAGAGCCGAGGGGTCGCGCGCGCCCAGCACCTAACGCCCGGCCAGGCCTAGCGGCCTCCCCGCCCCCTCCGGCACCGCGCCTCTCCGGGCCGGCAGACGGCGCCCCGGGGCTAACTTCGCCCGGCAAGAGGAAGCGAGGGGATTAACAAACTGGGTGCACCGGCAGGACCAGAGTCTGTATGTGCATCTGTCTACCTGCCAGCAAGGCCGCCTCTCCTTCCCTCTGCCAGGCCTGGCGGCTCCAGCGCACCTGAGGACCGTACCGGGACGACGCCGCGGCCGCCGGGATGGCCGTTACGGCACGAGGCCTGCGCGCCACCGCCGCGTAGCTCTCGGGAGTGGAGAGGAGAGGGGCGGGGCGAGGCGGGGCGGGGCGCGCGCAGCCGGGGGGCGGGCAGACGGGCGAGCGGGAAGCGCTGATTGGGCCCGAGGCCGCGGGCGGTTCCGCGCGGACAGGAAACCCGCTCTCGGACCAAGATGATAGGCTGAATTGCCCCTTCTCGGCCGCGGCCGCGGCCGGTGCGGCGCTGGGACTGGGCAGACTTACCTGTCAATCAAGCCCCGTGCGGGGTGTGGAAGGAGCTGAAGCTGAGCTGCCAGAGATTTGGAACCTAACTGACCCTTTTGGCGTTAGCTAGCACCTCTACGTTCTCTGATGATTTCATTCCGCCTTTCTCCTCAGCGCTGCGGGAACGACCCCACAGCAAATATTACGGCTTCCCGAGTTCAGACTCTAATGCCCTGGAAGCTTCGTCTACGGATTCTGCCTCGGAAGAGGATCTTGCCAACCGAAGAAAGGTTCTGAGGGATGAAAAACGACAGATAAACCCAAAGGCCAGGAAATGGAGGCTTAGGAGGAAAAAATGTAGGCCACAGGCTTACGTTTCAGCCATAAACCGGGTTTTGCAAGGACCTTCGAAGTGTCCTGATGCGTAGGCAGCTTCCTATGTCAGCACTAGTCTTGCTGTGGAAGAAAGATGAGACTGTCTACTCTGGTAGACACTTACAGTCTTGGAAAAACCCGGGGACAGTTCCACACTGACTCGATGAGGGGCCGGGGTGTGGGAGTAATTCTGAACCAGTCGCTGCCGCAATGCTCCACAACCAGCCTTCCCTTGCTGACCATCTATATGGCTTGGCTTAGCAACCCTCTTTGGGAGACTGCTAGAGTGGGTACCTTTCCAAAAAGCACAGGTCTCCTTCCCCATCAGAACCGCCAAAATAGTTTGTCCCTATTCTTACCTGAGCTGTAGGTTCCTTGAGGTCAGGAACGTCAGTGTTCAGGTTTCCCACAGTGCCTAGCGTGTGATACCACCACCTCTAATCCCGCCCTTGACCAAAACCTGACATAGTTGTTACCTGCTTTTAACCACTCGACTTCAAAATGATCCATTTGAGTGCTGATGCATGTGGTTTGCCGATTAGATGCAGGATCACAAAGTCAATCACAAATCATGTCTTGCTGGCCTGAAACTGGCTGATGCAAAAAGGCCATGAAACGCAGCACTACTACTCTTGGTCTAAATCCCATTAGAAGCCAAAGTGAAGAATGCAAGGGAATTTCAGATTTACTCTAAAGGCTTAAATAACTGCATATTTTATCATGGCTTTCTTATTTGTTGATACATCTTATCACATATCCTTTTGTATGCTGATATATTTTTGTAGCTGGAAAAATTATTTCTTAGCTTGATTTGCCCATAATCACACTGCGAACTACCAACCTGACTTGATTCTAGTTACATATGTTGTGTGATGAGGAGGGGGATTAAATACAAATAGTAAAGGGAAATTCAGTCATTGCCTTTAAGTAGCTTTAACACCACCTGAAGTGAGAAAGATAATCCCAGAAGAATATCTTGAAGTCGCAAAATTAGGTTTTATTTTGTAAGGTAATGTGTACTTTGAATGGTCCATTAAACTCTTCACAAGCTTTTGATCCTTGTGAAGGATCTATTTCTACTACTCTATATCACTTATGTAAGCAATATAAGCAAGGACTGTGAGGAAGAAAGCATAAATATGCCTTTTCACAAAAAGATTTGTTTTCTTAAATATTTTGTTTCAACTTTTCTTTTTTCATCTCCCTCATCCAGGGAGATTACATTCACACATTCTTTCCAGGAACATTAAAAAAAAGTCTCAAGTTACATATGGGAAAGATAAGTTTAAAGTAAAAAAACATCAAAGCATAGATAGAGTGGAAGGGTAGCTAGACAGAAAAGTATGTATGAAATTCCAGTATGACATACTTAAAAGGAATAGAGTCCATATTTTCAAAAGGGAAACTGTCTCAGAGACTTCCTATCACACACTCTGTCTCCTCAACTTCAAACATCAATGTACATGTGGCCTCTTCTTCCTCTCTTTAAGCTGAATTAAACCAAAAACAGGAACCAACCTTGCTGGTTTGTGCTGAGTGGACCAGGGACTAGCCAGAATCAGGCAACAATGAAGATTAATGACCTACAGACTGAAAGTGAGGCTTGGAATTTGAATAGCTAATCTGTCCCGGAATAAAACTGTCCAGATAACTCACATCATTAGTCCCAAAAGAACTTGGAAAGACAAGAAGTAATTTTATTTTTTTAAATGAGTCTCCATGTTTCATGGCCTTTCCCAAGAAGGTATTGATAGGGTATATTAGAAATGACTATAGAAAATAGTCTAGTTTCACATCACCACCAGACAAGAATGTTTAGGGGGGGGTGGGGAACCCTAACATCAAGAAGTAACGAATTAATCATAGGTTCAACTATGAAATATCAAAATTAGTGTACTTTGAAAACTGTTTTTTATAGGAATTCATTCAACAAAAATTTATTGAGGGTTTACTTTGTGATAGGTATTAACAATATACAAATCAATCTATCTTAAAAGAGCTCAATCCCATTTCGGAGAATGAGATTTAAACTGATAATTACTAATACAGTAACCACAATGTATAAGAAGACATTAAGACAGAGACAGAGGAGTAAAAAGATTGTGTGGTTAAACCAGTCAATCAAGGTTTTCCTGGTAGAGTGGCTTGCATGAAGGGGGATAGATTATTGCTAGAGCAAGGAGTAGCTTGGAATGTAAGCAATAGCCAGGTGATAGAAAAATTGTGTGTGATAAGATAAAAATGTTATCCTATAGGCATTGAGAAACCACCAAAGGGTTCGTTTCTGATGTAAGGTTACCTGTCATTTTTGTCACTGCTTCCTTATATTTCATATGTTTTTTTCTCTACTGCTCTTAGGACTTTTCCCTTCTTTCAGTACTTAAACTATGATGTTCTTTTGGTGTGGTTTTCATTTCATCTATTCGGTTTGGGGTTCCCTGCCATATCTAGGGAACCCTGGATCTGTGGGTTGTTTTTCTTTTTAATCAAATTTAGAAAATACTAGCCAGTATTTCTTCAAAAATTTTCCAGACTCTTTCTCTATGTCTCTTTCTGGGACCATAGTTACACTTATGTTGGACCTCTTAGTATTTAATACAGGTTATTCTGTCTCTGTTCATTTTTTTTCCCCTCAACTTTTTTTCTTTGTGCCAAAGTTTAGATAGATTCTATTGAAACTCAGTGTCTAATCTTGAATTATTTGAATGTTAACATTTCCCAAAGCATATCAGTCAGGAAAACAAAAATTACAACATATTACAACAGAAAGGTTTAACTTTGGGTGTTCACGGACTAAAATGCAACTGAGGTAGCTTATAGATAATAGCTATGAAGAACAGCTACCACTCTTACAACTAGTATAAAAGGAGAAGAGGTTGGATTAACAGATCTCCGAAGCTCAAAGGAATAATCCTGCTGAGATGCCCTCAGAACCTTGAGGAAGGGATGCAGTCTGCAGATGCCATCCTGTGAACTCTGAAAAGCATATGGGTGAAGCTGGTTTGGTGGGGAAGAGGCATCAAAAGAAGCTCAAGGCTGGGGCTAGTTGCTGCTGCTGGGCAATGCTGGGCTAGCAATACAAACAAACAAATTCCCTTCTCCCCTTTTCCTGCCTTGAGTCTATCACTTAATGCCTTCTATTGGTAGAATGTACTAAGACATTGCTAACATTGGAAAGTGTTTGATTACAGCCATAACAGCATCACAGAAGGTGAATTGGGAACTGAAAGACAATAGCTTAATAATCAGAACCATTTCAACATTTGTTTGAGCTAAATTAGTAAGAATTTGGCTAATGCCCTTTGAAAAGAATCTTAGGATATTATGTCATATCAATTTTCTGCTTTGTTCTGATGACTAATAGTTTCTCTTTCAGGGGTAAAGCGTACTGTTACTACAATGCACATATATACATGCCATAAAATCAAAACACGGACAGTTTTAGAAGAGAGCTGTATGTCTGGTGATAAGTAGACTCTTCACCAACTATCATCTATAAAATGGCATGGACCAAGTAGACTGGAAAGAATTGGTCCTAACCTAGGACACCATTGTCAGTTTCTTACCTAGTTCCCTTTCTTGCCTGGATTCAAGTTCCCTTAAGCAAACCCAAGGTTTGGTATTCAGCATCACACCTTATAGTTTACATTTCACAAATGAAGACTTTAATACTGAAGCATTTTTTTGTTAAACATTTGTAGAAAATTGGACAAGATTTTTTTCTCCCCTTTGAGTTTTAGGACAAGAAAAGTTCCATCTGAAAGGGGCCATTTCTTCAATCTTGTTTTGTTTTTGTTTTAATTTATTATTATTATTTTTCAATCTTGTTCTTTAGTGATGAAAGTTAACCTCCTTTTACCATAATTATCTTTTTATTAATAAAAGTAAAGATACTAGGTCCATGAAATTTCACATATTTAATATCTATGTGACTACTGTAGACTAGAATAAATCTTCTTCATCTGCATATATCAATTATATATTATATAGCACTCTGTCAGTTATACAACACAAAAGACATTTATAGGTGATCATTAAATGGCAGTGTACATATAATACTTGAACATTAACAGGATAATAATAATCAGGTATTCATTTAATAGGCGAGTCTAGTATTTCCTGATAATCCTGCCTTCTTAAATTCCTCCAGTAAAGTTTATAGCCAGCAAGCACAAAAACACTAATCATGATGATTACTCCTCCAAAAATGTCATAGACACTAGGGAATATATGTAACACTAGAAGCTGCAAGACCATGGCTACCACAATCTCTAGATGCTGTACTGTGCTGACCAAAGCTGGATGAAATTTGTCCAAGGCATAATAAACTCCTAAGAATGCTACAGTAGAACAGACACATATAGCAATGAGGTAACTCCAGGTTTCTCCGTCTAGTGGGATGATGGGTTCTTGAAGAATGAACATAGTAGATAATCCCCAGACTGTTCCAGTCCAGCCAAAGGTAAACAGGGCAGTCCACATGCTGATCTTCTCCCTGATGGATCTGTACACTATCATGGAAAGAGCAGTGGTCAGTCCAGCCATCACAGTCATAGTGTACCCAAAGGCTTCTTTCCAGGTATTTAACAAAGAATTCTCTTCATCAACAATGTTGGGGATCATGACGAAACAAACACCTACGGTGCTGCAAATAATTGTAGCAATGTCAGCATAAGCCATTTTCTCATCTACAAGTAAAAAGGCCAAAATTGCACTGAAGACTGTGGTGGTGGCTCTCCACATAGTGGTTCCATTGCTGGGAGGAACTATTGAAAAAGATGTATAAGCACACGTGATAGAGATGACATTGCATACTCCATAAAAGAAGAGTCGTAGTCTGTATCCACTGGGTCCAAAGGGAGCCTCCTGATAATAACAAACAACTAACACAGACAACAGCTGTAAGACAGAGCGGATGAAAATCAGTTCTAAAGATGGAACTTTAGAACGATCAGAAACAAGCCGAGTAATAAGAGCTACACATCCGTGAGCCAAAGCAGAGCCAAACAGCACTATCCACATTTTTCTGGACTGAAAAATGTTTTTTTCTGCAAAGCTCTGGAATTGCCCAATCTCATTGGTCGCTGTGTCTTCTCTTGGGGGGGGCCGAGTGTCCATGGTTCCAAAGAAAGTTCTTCCTTTTCGTTTCATTTCATTTAGCAGTCCTTTCTTTGGATTTTCTTCCATAAAATTTCCATAGTCTTCATTGATTTCTTCATAGCCATTATCCCCAGGCTGGGGATAATGGGAAGTATATTTTACCATCACTGTATTAGGATGTATTTTCACCCGTTTTTTAACTAGATGCTTTTTGGAGGGAGAATTATCCATTTCTTCAGACAATCTATTTAAAAGACAAAAAAGGTAGGAATATTAATTTTAATGGGGGAAATGTCATCTCTATTATAATTATGTATGCAATTCAATGTTAGAAATTAGAGATTTTAACAGAGATCTTAAAAATGTAAAAGGAGATTTTTCTGGTAATATGTCTTATAAGTCGTATGGAACACATTGGAGTTGTCCAACCTTTTTCATTCCCATATTAAGTCTTCCTGCATTTATCATTCTACTTATTATTTGATTTATTTTGCTCTATTTACCATCTTTATGCCTCTAATTGATATTTTTATGTTTTCATTGAAAACATACCTATCTCCTCACTCATCAACAAGAAAAACACAAGAATAACTTGTCAGCCTTCTCATTCCTTCCTTTGTCTAAGTTACAAATTAAAAATGGATAAGTTCAAAGTCTTTTGTATAATCAATTTGACAGAATACCAAAATTAGCTTTACATTATAAATTAATTATAGGGTTGGGTTTTGTATTTTTGTTTCTTCATTCTTGGCTCCCATATTTCCAGGTGTATGTATACTGAAATTAGAAAATAAAGTAAAATAAGAAAACAATAGTAACATGAATACATTGTTGTGCAAATTAACATTTTACATCCTTTCTAGTGGGCAATTGGCAGTATCTCTATTAAGATTTTAACTGAAATGGATATAGTAGAGCATACAGGAGACAAAGTTATAAAACATTTTTAGCCATGACCAAACACCTTTAAAGAGTTTCTGGACCCAGGGTCTCAAGACAGTAGTCTCAAGGAACACCAAGGTGAACTGCCACAATTAAGTCCACAGAGACAATGTTCTCCATCCTCCTTTGTGAGCACTTACTGGGGTTTAAAACTTGTGAGTGGCTACCTAAGGTGCAACACTGGTCTGAAACAATGATAAGAATAGAAGGTATAAGGAAGCAATTCATCCAATATATAATGGCCCAAACAAACATCAGTCAGTAGTGGTAGCTGGGAACCCACTTTTTCTGGTCTCAAGGTTGTTGAAACTTATTGAGGAAATGGTATGGGGGCTGTATTAGTCTGGGTACTTTAGAGAAACAAATCCACAGACACTCATGTATAAGAGAGTTTTATATAAAGGTTAAGTGCGCATCAAGAAAACATCCCAACCCAGTGCTGCCCAAGCCCACAAGTCCAACAATAACCCATTAACCCATTTGTCCAACGCCAGTCCACAAAGTCCTCCTCCATCTCACAAAACGGACGCAATGATGCCGACTGCAGGAGGAAAGCCGAGTCAGTGAATGTGTAAGCAACTCAGCGCTGGTGGGGTCTACACGGCTGCTCCAGCACCCAGGGCTGCATCAGGGTAGGTCCATGCGGCTTCTCCTCAGGGATGTCTTGCAGGAAGTGAGCCTTGCCAGCTGAAGCAAGGAACTGGCTAAGGTAGCTTCACTAGAATTAGAAAGGCGAGGCTCACTGAGCCATTTATCCCTCAGCCTTTCAATTAACCCCACATGTATTTACTGGCCAGATTGGCACAATAAACTAACTACCTCAGGTGACAAGTCTGACTTCTGGCTATACAAAGGAGAAGAATACAACTCTACACTAGCCCAAGGCCAATAGCCACAAGGCAGAGGTCATACATGTCTCCACCCTTCATTCTTCTTACCCTCTTCTAATATCAACCATCTAAGTCTATGCTGGGTGTAATAAATGGTTGCAGTGACCACAGAGAATTCATAGACAATAAATATGCACAATTATGGGGTTTATTAGGGTATCTAACAGGCTACAAAATGTTAAGGAGGTAATTCTTTTGTCCCAATACCTCTTCTCAGTCACACTGGGAGGCATGTCTCTCTCTGGTCCTTAGCCTCTCAGCCAGGTTCCCTCTTGACCTCTGTCTTGTTCTGTGGACCAGGAAACTCACCACTCTTCCTCATGGTCTTGGCACAGCTCATTTGCTCTCTCTCATAATCTCAGGGCTGCAGCCACTGGTACCTCTATTGCCTCTACCACTTCAGACAAGGGTCTCACACATGGCCTGGTGGTGGCTCTTCTTTCTTCATTGTCAAAGGATTCTCTCTTGTCCTATTTCTTAAACGACTCATTTATATACCCAGCTCAATTGCAAAACCAATCACGTGATTTCACTAGTCCCATAAAGAGTTGCAGGCTCAGAAACTCACAGGGGCAGTTTTACACGGTCCTACGGGGTCACTGGAATTGGAATAGACTGAGGTGAGTTTAGGTTTATTTGCATGATCATTTGTTGGGAGTTACAAAGTCATGGATAGAAGAATCATACCAAATAATTTCACTTCAACATAATGATGTTCACATGGTTCATTTGTCCAGTGGACTAATTGTTTTCCATGTGGCTATTTTCACCATTCTTTTTTCTTCCACATAGGGAGAGTCCAAGAGTCATATCTTCAATGGCCATTCATGAGCTTTTAAAGCCCCAGTTGCTACTTACTTAACAAAGTAGAGTGTAGAACGCTGTCCCTGTGAACTATGTTATGCCAATTATCCTGGGCATCTCCTAAAACAATGGTCCTAATTCCCCAGGCCCAGCAACTTACTCCTTCAAGGTGTTTAGCTGTGTCTAACATATTTTCATAACTTTACACCCTGTGTTCTTCACCACATTCATAGATATATTGTAGCACAGGTAAATACAACTATACAAATATCCTCTGTCAATCTATATCTATGCATGGGTATACTCCCACTCTTTCCCCTACATTTGTTCAGCCTGAGAATCTATCCAAGATCACAGTTATTGCAGGATTGTCTATATAATAATATTTGCCTTTGTTGCTTTTAATTTTGAAAACTTCCCACTACCTTCCCCTGCCACTACCATTTCTTAAAACACTTTATTGTGAATTAGATGAAGGTTTATAGAGCATCAGTCTTACATCCAACAATTCATGCATATTTTGTTCCAACTCACCCACTGCAATCCCTTCAATGCACCATCACTTTGCCGCTTTCTCCTGCTTTTCCTTTGTCCATTCCTCCTCCTTTCCCACCTTCGGAACTTTGTCCTTGGTAAGTGCTGCCCCTTTGATCTTAAATGGTTGATTATCCTACCACTGGTGCAGGGTTCTTGTATAAACAGTGTTTACCTTGGTTGCCTTTAAGGCTTGCAAAACTCCCAGTGTCTTCCTCTGACCTCCATCGATACTTACCAACCTCTCTCTCATTATATATCGTCTTCCTCTTCACCAACATTTGTTTATTCTCTAACCAGTTATTTTCCTTCCCTTTTTTTCTTTTTTCTTTTGATGATGTATATTCATTTTCTTTGTGGTTACCCTACAATTTATTCATTTCTTCCCAAGTTTAAGATAGTGTCTGTCCTATCTTGAAGTCTACTTGCTCTGTATTTGGAAGTTCTGTAACTGCATTAAGGACCCTGGTGGTGTAATGGCCACCACCTTGGGAGAACGACAGGGCTTTCTACTCCTATAAAGAGTTAGCCTCAGAAACTCACAGGGACACTTCCACCCTGTCTCAGTGCCGAGTCAGAACCGACTGCATGACAGTGAGTTTGGTTTGTTTGTTGTTTGCTTCTTTGTTTTTGGTAATGACACTGTGTCTGTCCTCTATTTACTTTGAAACTGTCTTTGTTACAAATTGATAGTCTGAATCTCCTTTTTCAGTCTTGTAGCTATGTTTTACTTTGAATACTTCTATATCTGGGTTGACTTCCAGGTAGTGTTGTCATGTATCTTAATTTCAGGTTGTTGTCTACTGTTATTGTTCATCTGTCCAAAGAACTTGAACTGATTTGAAGACAAGTAACAACAACAACATGATCCTTGGTTGGCAGTTGTTTTTTTTATTTCAGAGTTTTATATATGTCATCCTATTGCTGTCTTGCCTGTATGGTTTCTACTGAGAAACAGAGCTTATTCTTATTGGTTCCCCTTGACAGGTAACTTATTTTTCCTTGATGGTGCCCTACATAATTTTTAAGCTTTCTAAGGATTTTTTTTTTATCCTGTGTTGTGATTATTCTTCTAACACACTAATGTGGAAAGATTTGCCTTCAATCTCACCAATTTATCCATCCATTGATTCAATTCCACTCCTTTGTCCTTTCTATTACCAAAATCTTAGTATTAATCTCCTGGCTCTCTATTTGCTGTTTTCATTTTATTTTACTTGCTGTTTTTATATGGTTTCTAATGTTTCATTTATTTTGTCACTTTGTCCTTGAAGTGTTTTCATGAATTCTTCCAAAGTTTTTTCTGTGTTTTCCTTGATTTTGTCTGCAGCTTACTCCATCTTTCTCTCACTCTGTTGAAGGAACCTAAATTCCATTCTTGAATTCCTTATCAGGTAATTCTAACATCATTCCTCCCCTGGATAGGTCTGGCATTGTAATGTACTCACTATTAGGTGAGCCACTATCATATATCATGTGAATTGAAATTTTCTGTTGTCTCTGAGACATTGATCAGGTGGTATAGAAGTAGGGAGTAGCCTTTATCTTGTGGGTGTGGCTGCAGGAGGTATGGGTGTGGCTGGGACATTTGGGTACAGTTACTGCCCCTTATTTGGTAGGCCAAGGGGAGGGGCAGGAGTAAAAGAAACACAAAAAACCAACAGCAAATACCACTAGCCACCAGTGTACGGGTGTGCAGTCAGGCTGCTGTCTTGACTAAATGCTGCTTGCAAAATGTTCATGGTAAGCCACCAACGATTCACCCCTATGTATCCTCTCTGGTCACTTTTGTTAAGCTTCATCTCCTACTCAGTGTTCAATGCACTTCTCTCACATTTAAGCTCAGGGTTCCATGATGATTATCTATATCTATTTCATTCGGTCTTTCATATCTTTGTTGTAGCAGATCTGTTTATGTCTGCCTAGCGTGCCACCTTTCTGGATGTCAACTCTCAAGAGATATGATGATTATGCAGCATACACACTGCCCTTGCTTCTGTAGGCCATGACTGAACCGTTTTGTACTGATTTGAAGCCTTACTCTTCAAGTGGCAAAAATTATTTGCATTATTAAACCTAAATATTAGGATATCTTTTTCTCTCTAACGTAAAGAAAATGGTTAACCCAAATTTATTTATATATGTTTTAACTAAGGTGACCAGATTTTAACATTGGTAAAGTGGGACACCATTGATAAAATTCACATCCTGGTGAAATAGCCACATGGCAGTCGAAAACCGTATACCCTAACTTGTGCATTCTTTCCAAAAATCGGGACTTTTTTAAAACGCCGCGGGATGCGGGGAAAATTGTTAAAAATCAGGACTGTCCCGCCAAAAATAGGATGTCTGGTCACCTTAGTTTTAACTAACCTAGGTATTCTGAAAGATATGATATAAATATTTTCCTCCTAATTTTTATTATTTTCTTGGTAAGCAATTCAGCCTTTTTTCAAGTGCCAATTTCTTATTTGAGCTAATTATTGATGTTATAAAAGGCTTCTTAAAGTTAGTTCATGAAAATTAGAGCCACCAATAAAATATTTTGGGAAATTTATTTCTTTAACTGCCTCATCCGCAAGGTCATTTTCCCCTTACTTTCTGCAAGAAGTCGAGTTGTTTTAGTTAAATTCAAATAGTTACGGTCAAAGAATTATAATGTTCATTTGCTGTGGAGAGTGGTAGAATTTTATTTAGAAAATTTATGGCCATCAGCTGCTGCGTTGTAATAACCTTGTATTATACTCAAAGCAAGCCTGGTGGGAAGTGGAACATACTAATAAATAAGCAATCAAAATACTGTAATAATTTGGATTCATTTTTTTTCAAATCGGAGGGCTGCGGCTCTACCCCATTCTGTAGGGTCGCCGTGAGCTGGAATCAACTCAACAGCAATGAAGTATGGTTTGTTTTTGGTACAGCAGCACAAAGTATTTGATCAACATAAGTGGAAGACTCAGTGATTGGTTTCCTAAGTGAAAGCAAATAAATATTGGTTCTTGGGGTGTCAATGAGAGTGAAAATGGGTACCACCGAGATCAGTAACAGTAAATGTGTATTGTCCAAAGGGACGGTAGAGAGTGTAAGATGAAAATTCGGGACGAATGAAAATCTAGGAACAATAATGTGACTGATATTTTGACTGCGATAATTATCAGAACATTCTAAGGGAAGTTTGTAAGGCCTAACATAAGCCTGACTTAAAAGACTTTTTTTCTCCAGGGGTTTTCAGTGCTAGGGATTTAGCTGTTATATCAGAGTATAACATTTTTCAACCCATGAACCTTTTATTTCTTGTCATTCCGGAACTAATAAAAATTAACTTTTTTCCCCTCAAATAAAATATATGTCATGTAATACCTAGCTTAGGCTATCTGGAAATGTTTTGTTTTCATAGTTCTCTATAAATATATATGGTAGTTTTTCCTTGTGAATTTAGTATCATTACAATAAAGGCCGCTGTTGTATCCCCAGAGTCCCTTTAGTCTATACTTTAATGAAGGGTCTCTTGTTCAGCCTTTTTCTTTTGATTGTTCTTTCACTTACAGCACTCTGTTTTCCAGTGCCATGGCTTCTTGAGATAATGACAAGTACCAGGCTTAGTGTCTCCAAAGGATTTGAAATGACCATATTGGTTGGGAAACTGTAATTGTTATAGTTTAAGGCTATCAGTTTATTCAGCCTGGTACTGTCAACAGGTGCACTACTTGACAGAAACCTGGCAACTTGGACTGGCAAGCTTCATTAAGGATCATAAATTCTACAGCAATTTTGTTAAGAGTCCTCATACAATTTTGGGAAATTGTAACAATAAAATATAATTCTATGCAAGTCCAAGGAGAGAAGATACACTGGGATCATGAAGGTTCCTCTGGAGCCATCTTGAAGTTTATAGTATTGAGTTTAAAGGCCATTTTAAGAATGGGCTTTGTAGTCAGAAGCAGTTTCTTCCAGAAAATAAAGGAAAGTTCAGATGGACTATTGTAAGAATGAAAAAGTAGGGAATAACATAAAAAATTAGCAGCTGGCAAAGGAATAGACATATTGGGCCAGTTGGAATAAATAGACCAGAGATTTGACATTGTAGCTCCTGCAGGGAAGCGGCTATTGATTTTCTAGATCACTTTTAGCATGCCGGCATTCCCAAAGCAAGCCCATACAAGGATCAACGTGGTCATTCATCCAAGAGGCCAGAATGCCTCAGGTTGGCCCTCCTGTCTCCAGAGCTAATATCCCCCATCTAGTTACTAAATAAATTTGAAAATAAAGATGAATAAATAGTAAACACACACAGTATTAAAAATTGTATGTGTACTGAAACCTCAGTGTGCACTGAAATGTAAATGCGTGCTGAAACTCAAAAATGTACACTTTAAGGAAAAAGAAGAATTCAAATCTAATGGGCTGAGACTTTGATTTTCCCACAGTCAAACTATCAAGACTAGGAACATCACAATGCCAGTCTGACCGGATTTATTTTGTCAACAAACCTGTCAAAATGTTTACTACCAATGTACTAAAAATGAAAGTACAAAAGAAATCCAACAATAATCCCAGAATGTGACACTGCAAGAAGTGAAGCTCAGTTTAAAAGGCTTTTGACCTGGGCTGACTCCTGGGAATCCAGGAAGGTGGTGAGCCCAGGGCCTCTGCTGGTCTCAGGAGCCCAAGTTCACGATGTCAGGGGCCTCCAAAAATAATCCACTTTGGACACCCCAAAAATGTCAAAGACAAAAAATGTGTGCTCTGTTAAAATAAAAGTAAAAAGTTTTATTGGAGAATATCATGAGGGTAAGTAAAAAAACATTGCTACAAGGGCTTCAGGCCATACATGCACACGTTTATTCCAAACAAAGCATGCGTAAACGTGTCTCTGCGACCAGTGGAAGCTGCAGACACGTCTTTTCAGTAGGACACTTGTCTTCGTCTAATGAGAGTGCCTTCAAAATAGAGTCCATGAAACAGTGCCTCCCGAGGCCGTGTGCTGGCCTGTAGTTACATTCCAGACAGAGAGGTCAGCTCGGAAAGTTAGGGTAACTGTTTTGAGTGATGCCAAAGGAGTGACCTTGGTAGATTTTCTTGGACGACACAAGATAATCATGGAGGCTTATTATGAAGACGTTTTACGAAAACTGAAAACTTCATTGGTACAGCTCTTGTAGCCAAAGTCCCTGTAACTCCCACCAAGCAGCCTTTTCCTGCATGGATCTGGGTAAGAAGGTGGGAAAAGACACTGATAGGGTTTACTTGTGGGTTTTCTTGTGGTAATTGTGAACAGGGTACACTGGATTGCCCTCCTGCTGTGCATAAAACGAACTATGTGAGAAGCAAGAGGGATGAACACCACTACCAGCGAAAGCTAAGGGTGGAGCATGTCCTCTGGACCACAAGATCCCTGTGCAGTGACCTCCTTGTTTCAGAGGCCGCTTTGACATCCAAGGAGTGGTAGAGGAGCATGAAGAGCAGCAGAACCAGGAGCCAGAGCAAGCATGAGACAGAGTGGGGAACTTCACTGCCCAAAGAGCAAGTAAAGCAGTGCTTTCTAGCAGGCAGCAGGCTTCTGAAGGGGGTGTCTCTGGGCTCACTGACCCCATGGAGCTTGAGCTGAATACCTTCCGGTTGAGGCTTGCAGCTGAGTGGTACGCCTGTTGGACATTGTTAGCAGCCCTAAAGGAACCAGTAGCATGTTCGGACTGAATATTTGCCTCCTGAGCATTTCTCACCTGCATTATAACCTATTAAATTTCCCAATAAACTCTTTAATTATGAATATTGTCAGAGTTCTGCGTAGCCATTGGAACAAGTATGAGAATCTAAATGAAAAAGCAAAGAATGTTGTTTGAGACATAACACAGTGAGAAAAAAGCCAGGAAAGTTGTACCAAGGAATTTCCCCCCCATCACAACAACACACCAGCTCACTCTTCTAGAGTGAGGTAGGGTGGGCTGTCATATGAGAATTGCGTTGGGAAACCTTACTACCCTACCCCCTCTACAACCCTAATCTTGCCCTTTCAGACTACTTTTTGTTCCCTGAACTCAAAGAACATAATTGGAGTCCCTCAACAATGCAAAAGCTGGCATTTTGACAGAGTGTGAAATGAAGAGCACAGCCTTCTTTGGGAAGAGTTAGAGTGATGGAAATACTGTCTTCAAAAGTGTATTGACCTACAAGTGCAGCCCAGTCCACATGGAAGAAACACATCATGTGTGATCAAAGAATTACTGATATTATTAATAATATAATCCAGGATCAGAGGAGGGAGTGTATTAGAGCTTAAATTCTGAACACCCTAGTTTACAGAAGGCTGTGGGGGACAGTGATAGCACAAAATCCATTTGCAGATCCTCACATAGATTGTGCATCCATTGACTTGCTTCTGATCATTAGCCAAAGTTACACATAATGTTTTCCTCAGGCAAAGTACATTTGGAAAGTAGATTACTTCAACCCCTCTCCAGTCAATCCCAGAAGGGACAATCTCTCTTAAGGACTTGCTTAAGTGTGACCTTGATAGAAATCACCTTATTGGGGACAGTGAAGAGAGTCACATCATCATGAGTCATGCCCTATTAGTCATGCCCTGCTCACCGTAGTCGGAAGGCCCTGGACCAATCTTGTAAATTCTTCTATTTAACACTGGTTCTCATTGTGGTCCAGCTTCTGTAGTCCCACCTGTAACTGTGATATATTGATCTGCCACCAATCATACATTTGTGACAGTTCCTTTTGTCCCATGCTTATTTAATTAGCATCCTGACTGAATCCTCATGCTAGTGGCCTCCCTCATTCAGACAATGTGCCTGTGTCTTTATGTTGTTTTTGTCCCTTTCAAGACAATAAATGTTCTCTTTAAATTAAAAAAAAGAAAAAGTGTACTGACCCTGATAGAAAATACACTGAGAAACAAGAGCTTCATATTTAAATATCTTTGTTTAATAATGGTTTCTAGGATTTTTCAGAAATACCTTTGAGTTAATGCAGTTGAGTAACAATTTGCAAATTTACAAATTGCTTCATGATACAAAAAAAAAATAGAAAGACTTTTATGTAAGAGAAATTTAAGGAAATCATGACCATTAGTCATACATCAGAAACTATAAGTCAAACGTATATATTTGACATGACTATAGATGTCCTAGCCCGGAGTTAGCCTGTAAAAGTATTTTGTGAAAATAATTTTATCTATAATTAAGGGTCAAGATAGCTTGTTCAAAAACATTCCTTCTGCCTCCCTTTCTCCCCATCCTCTCTGAGTCTGTGCAAATTAATCCATTGCTGTGAGCTTGGCTCAAATGTCTTTTATTTTCAGACACACCTTTCCAGATTTTAAACAATACAATATACCCTTGTTCTATTCACACAACTGCCTCTTGATGGATGTAAAAGTTCCACATGAGCACAAAGAAGTGTTCTGGAATTCCCATTCTTCTTTAGACTATCCATAGTTTGAGAAGCATACATTAATCTCTATAGGACATATGTGTGTGCCAAGCTACATGTTTCACCTTTATAATGAGCATATTGGACAGTTTCAACTCAGTTGGGTTTTACTAATGTTTATCTCTAGTTGCTCACCCAAATTTGCTATGTCAAATCCCCTTTTCCTGCGGGCCAACAAATGTCCTACTGGCGTAAGTCAGATTCTATAACTTCCCATTTGCTTTTCATTGTTAAATTTTTGTTCTTATATCCATCGAAAATTTCCATTTTCCCTATTGCAAACTATAACTGAAGCTCTGAGAACTTATACAGGTTCATGATGACACACCGGGAGGCAATCGTATGTGGGGAATATACTCCTCATAGTTCCACTCCTCGGAGTCTTGGTGGAGGAGCAGGGTTGCCTCTGTGACAGCTCCTCATCTGCGCTCTAGTCCCTCAGGTGTATTGACAAAAGGAGGAAGAAAAAGGAAAGAGACAATGTCTCAATCTACTAGCTATGCTTTGTAATGACTTTCTGATGTGTGAACTTGGCCAGGCTGAACTAGTGTCTCCAGTAATTCAAACGCTAATCTATATGCTGCAGTGAAGGGAGTTTGTAGATGTGATCAAAGTCCTAATCAGCTGGCTTCAAATTAATCAAAAGGGAGACTACCCTGGGCAGGCCTGACCTAATCATGTGAACCTTTTAAAGATAGGCTTAGGCCTTCCTGAGCTCAGAGAGTCCACATAGATTGTTGGTCCACTTACATGGAGTGCCAGTACATGATCTTCCCTTCCTTAGTGCCCTACAGACTTCAGACATACTGATCTAGTCCTCCTCAACTACATAAGCCAATTCCTTGTGGGGAAAAAAGGCTAACTCTGTATCTCAGGTGAACCCTGACTCAAAGATACATGTTGTGATGTTCTCTTTGATTGTTGTTATTGACATTTCTGTATCATAAGTATCCAAATGCAGGCAATTTCTCAAGTAAATTCTATAGCACTTCCCTGGTGCACAAATTCCTGATATGGGAGAGTATTATCTCTATAAAAATATAAAAAATAATTTCATAGAAGCATACTTAGAAAAATGGGAGAATCATTCAAAGCCAGAGGTATTACACCACTCATATTAGAACATATTTTTGCTTGGCAACAATACATCTACATTTATCTTAGAAAATGAATAAGGCATAAAAATTCCCCACTTTGTAACAATTAAATTAAAGCATTTTTACAATGTGCTCCAGAAAGGAACTAAAAAGACAAGGAACTAAAACTCTGATTTAGCCAGAGATTATGACAATATTCTTGATACTCTAAAGCAGGGGTCCTCAAACTTTATAAACAGGGGGCCAGTTCACTGTCCCTCAGACCGTTGGAGGGCCGGACTGTAGTTAAAAAAAAAAAACTGTGAACAAATTCCTATGCGCACTGCACTTTTTTTTTTAAGGGTGGAGACAGACCCAGTCAGGGACACGGCAGCCTGCTGGGTCTCCTTGCTTTATTAGTTTCCAGCCGATCAGTTCAGAAAGTGGGAGAGGGGGAGGCGGGAGAGGGGGAGGCCGCCACCAGGAGCTCTGGACATACTCTCCTGGGGCAGGCTTGGCAGGTACAGACTGTGGGACAAGACCTCCCAGGCCCCACAGGGGACTGGTAGGAAGATCATGGATCAGTGGCTACTCTCCCACACAGATGGAGACCTGGGACTTAGGGGTTGTGCCACGGGCATGCATGCCCCAGCAGGTCACAGACCATCAGTACCCTGGTGAGCCTGGAAGGATTTGATCAGAGCGATTCATGCAGTGACTGGGCTGGAGCCACTGACTGGAACATGGCCTTGTAGTGGTTGCAACTGCTCACACAACTTAGGGTGTCAGCACGGGCCCTGGTGAGAGCTAGAGCCCCTTTGGGAATTGGGACTCATAGGGGTGAGACCAGACAGGCAGGGAGGGGCCGCCAGGCTGAGGAGAGAAGCCAAGGGTGGTATGTCTTTCAAGACACAGACACCCTAAGACCAGAGGCCCAGCCTCGAGCTTCGAGCCTCAGAGGCCAAGATGAAGCAGCCCTCGGCCCCATCCTGGCCCAGGGGGTACGGTCATCAGGAAACACGGCCCCCACATCCAGCCCTCCTTGCCTGAAGGTCAGTAGGCTGTGGTTCTAAAGGGGGGTGACCAATGCCTGTGGCTGCTTGGGTTGGGCTGCCCGCTTACTTCCCCTGGGAGGCAGATTTGTTGCCTTTGGGGATGAACTTCAGGGAGCTGCTGAATATTCAGAAGCGGGACTGCCCCCAGTTGGGGCCATCATTGAGGAACT